TCCCTACACTTTCATTCTTCACTTTCAAGAGGAAATGTAGGAACTGCTGGGAGAGACTTTCTTCCCTTAATCACTCCATCAAGAAAAGCGTTTGAGTAGTGATTTTACAGATACTCATCCAACATCCAGAGCAGCTCCACAACAGTCAATAAAAGTGTGCCAGGGGAATGGCCAAAATACTGATATGCTCCAGAGAAACCCATTCATGCCTTACCAGTAATTCCTGTCTTCTGTTGTGTGTTTTGGTGAGATAGGGTCAAACTCAAGGCTGAATTAAATAAATATATATATGTAATTATTTGATTGATGTATATATGTATATTATATTACATTACATATAGTTTATTTATTATATATTATGTATTGTCTATTATATACTCTGTATTATTTGTTATACATCACATGTTACACTCTTACGCATGTATGTATGTATGTATACATATATAGTTGTAATTTTTCATCACCTTTCTGGGAGAAATAACATTTTTCTAACTCTTTTGTACAGCCAAAAGCCCTGAAACTGTTGGGAATGGAGGTAGGCAACCTGTGATAAATCTTAATGTCTTTTTCTTCTTTGACAAATATATGCTATATCAAGATAACGTTTAAATTCACTGTTGTGAATGCACCAATAGCTGTTTTCAAGTTTTGTATGAGAAATGTGCCACACAAATTGTATTTTTTGTCCAGATAACTTGTTTTCTCAATGGCCAGATTAAGAAACATTTCTTAATAAAAATGCAGCAGATGATAGACAAGAAAAAAGAAGGCTCTGCCCCCTCTATGCATCATTTTTGTTTTCATGGAGATTAAACAAAATGTTTCAGTCTGTCAGGCCAAGCAGAATTTCAGTCAGTTAACTACATAACTTTAAAACATCTTCAGAGAAATTAAGCAGTTGTAGAGAATGATGCAGACATCTTTACATGGACCAAATTTCTGTCAGTTTTGTTGACACTTCTGGCTATCCCAAGGCTTCTAGGAGACAGTAGTATTTTCTTGATTGTTTACTTTATATAACAGCTTTCATTTTGCTGTCTACAGATGCAGCACAGAGTAGGTCAGTTCATCTGATAAAAGCAGTAGACTAAAATGGGAAAGAAACAAAAGGTGATAGAAACAACAAAGAGCTGGAGAAAGAAGGGATAAACATGGGATACAAAGGCAAGAATGGGAATGAAGAAAGGAAGTTCCTGTTCTTGTGTGAAGATGAAAGGAAAAAACACAAGAATAAGAAGGGAGGGAGCTTCAGCAGACCAGAACATCCACTGGATATGTACTTTCTGGAGGTGGAACAAGGCAGATGCATTACAACAGATGTTATATTTGGAGCAAAATCTTAGCTTTATTTTAATGATGGCTTTGTGAGTGATTGTGCTGTGTGTTCTTAGGGAGAAAGAACAGTTCAGAGTGACGGTCCAGAGCTCCTTTTCCCTGTGTTTAGGTATGGGGTTACTGATTTCTTCATTACAGTGCAAGGACCAATATTTTTTCATCATTTTTGTGTGTTAAATATTTTGTTCAAAAAAGATGAAGGGGCTGTCCTGCAGGGAATGTGTTTGACATGTCAGGTACTGACGCCAATACATTGTATGATTTCATTCAGTTCTTTCAGTGGTGAAAAAAATTTCTCTACAATTGTCACAGGATGATGTTCCTTTGCGGCGAGGGAGGAAAACAACAAAAAAAAGAGAAGAAGAAGTTGATATTGATTTGGATGACCCTGAGATCAATCATTTTCCCTTTCCATTCCATGAGCTGATGGTGTGGGCTGTGCTGATGAAGCGTCAGAAGATGGCCCTCTTCTTTTGGCAGCACGGGGAAGAGGCTATGGCTAAAGCACTTGTGGCCTGTAAACTTTGCAAAGCCATGGCCCACGAAGCATCAGAAAATGACATGGTGGATGACATATCCCAAGAGCTGAACCATAATTCCAGGTTAATTTTCTTTCATGTACACTTTTGTAGG